GTGTGTGTGTGTGTGTGTGTGTGTGTGTGTGTGTGTGTGTGTGTGTGTGTGCGTGAGCGTGTAAGAAAGGAATTTTCTATTGCTTTGTTTTTTGTTAGCCTTTTTGCTGTTGATGTCGTAGAAGGATAAAATAAACGAATATAAGACGATGAAAACCAAGAGCCACGGTAATACAAACACTGGGTCGTCACCACTAGGAGAACGAGCGAAGCTTCTGTTGCAAGTTCATTTTAAAGTCCATTGCCACTTTGTTACAGATTAGGTAAACAAAACAGTGACCAGTCACTCACAGATGATTTGTGTATAAGTTATGGGCGAGGCTTAAAGGTTATAATATGAAGGATCACACGCTTCCCTGATCAGCAGTTGAAAATTTATCGTTACCCATAGGTCAACTCGGGTAAACATTCATTGGAGGTACTACTAACAATAAAATAATGACAGGAGAATGGATTACGACGGCCCATCTAGTGTCAGGGGTTGAATTTTACAATTTATGACAAGCATCGGGTGAGCTGAGACCACGCCTGGCCGCCTCAGGCAGGTAAATGTTTTCAGGGTTGGTGATTTTTAAAAATATAAATAAATGTCAACACAGTTTGGAATTTTTTGTGGCTAAAAGTATGTTCTTTTAGTGCAAAATGCATTGTCTTTATTTATTTTAACTAATGATTAATTTAAGCAACTGCAAAAGAAAGCCTTAATCTGCTATACCAGTGAATTATCCGTGGCTACAGACAAAAAATGAAGAAAAAGTCAGTCTAAAAGTTAGGGGGGTAATAATGCATAGATAAACTTTCATTTTATTCCGGGTAGGGTTGATTTAAATCAGTTGATTTTTTAAATTTAAATCAACTTGATTAAAAAAAATAAAAATCAGAGATTTAAATCACTTTAAAAAAATGTATTTTAATTCAGTTTTTACATATTTAAACATTCAGAATTCCTTTCCTTTGTTTTATAAAACAGATATAAGGTTTAGTAGACTAATATAATAATGCTTTAAAGTCTGCTTTCCCCCCTGTCACTGTAAAATAATACAGTATTCAATTTACTTTTTTTTCATAATTGAAATCAGTTGGGTCGATTTAAATGAGTTGATCTTTTTTACTTAAATCAACTTGATTTTAAAAATAAAAATCAGTGATTTAAATCACTTTAAAAAAAATGTATTCAGTCTTATTTGAACATTCAGAATTCCTTTCCTTGGTTTTATAAAACAGATATCAGGTTTAGTAGACTGATATAATCATGCTTAAAAGTCTGCTTTCCCCCTGTCACTGTAAAATAATACAGTATTCAATTTACTTTTTTTTTTTATAATAGAAATTAGCATTTTTTTAAAAAGACCAACACAAGCGCGCAGACGCACACACCAACACACAGTCTAAGGAAATGTCTAGATTTATTAACTGTAAACTTAATAATTTATTTAATGTCAGATCAAGTCAATTGTGACTGAGGAGAATAAAAACATTAACAAATAAATCACAAACAATGTAACAAAAATAATAATTCAGATATTATTGCAAGGAACAAAATGGCAACTGAAGGAATTTTGCAAGTAAATCACTTTCATACAATATTAACAGTAGATCTATTTCAACAACCAACAATTTAGATCATGTTGAAATTCCCCATTGAGTTGTTTGGGGTTGAAGGTTTTGAAAAGAAACACTTGACAATAAAGTATTCAATTTACCTTTTTTCATAATTGAAATTAGCCTTTTTTTTCTTTTTAGACAAACACAAGCGCGCACACACACACACTGTAATAAAATGCAAGTTTATCTATGCATAATTACCCACAACCTTCCTTTTAGACTGACATTTTCTTCATTTTTTGTTAGTAGCAATGAATAATTCACTGATGTTATATGGCAGATTAAGGCTTTCTTTTGCTTAATAATCAAAAGTTAAAATAAAGACAATGCATTTTGCACTAAAAGAACATTATACTTTTAGCCACTAAAAATCCCAAATTGTGTTGACATTAAAAAATTTTGTTTTGTAATTTAAAGAATATTTAATTTTTTTTTAAATAAAAAAACCCACCAACCCTGATTTATTACAGTTATCTGACATTCAATAAATTATTAAGTTTACAGTTAATAAATCTAGACATTTCCTTTGTATGTGTGTGTGAGTGTGTGTGTGTGTGTGCTTGTGTTTGTCTAAAATTTAAAAAAAGAGAAAATATCCTAATTTCAATTATGAAAAAAAAGTAAACTGAATACAGTATTATTGCGGTTCTTTTCAACACCTTCAACCCCAAATAACTCAAAGGGTAATTTCAACATGATCTAAATTGTTGGTTATTGTAATACTGTTAATATTGTATGAAAGTGATTAACTTCCAAAATTATTTCAAGTTCCTTGCAATAATATCTGAATGATTATTTTTGTTACATTGTGATTTATTTGGTAATGTTTTTATTCTCCTCAGTCACAATTGATTTGATCTGACATTCAATAAATTATTAAGTTTACAGTTAATAAATCTAGACATGATACTTAAATAATGCACATTGTGGGAGTGGGAGATAGTTATGGAAGAAGAGTTACAACACTGATAAAAGCTTAGAACATTGAAGCAACACTTATGAAAAGTTATACAAAGACAAAGTATACACCGAATTAATGTAAACAATGTTTACAGTGTTTCAATTCCATTTGCTAGACACTAAAAACCAAGTGGCGAGAATTTTATTTGGAAGTTAGTCATTTTATTCTATTCTTAATCCAGTCCCTTCAAAGTTATGAAGAGTAAATTATGAGCGCATTGAATTGACAGCAGACAATAAAACAGTCTTGCATGATATATTATTAAAAAATATAAAACACCTACAATTTTATCATGTGACGGAAAAAGTTCTAACAACTTACCATCATGTATGGGTCATCAACGAGGGGATAGAAGAAATCAGTGGTTTGTACAAGTGACAAACCACCATGACGAAGGGGAGTGATAGATGAATCCATTCCAATGCCTGAGGAAAAAAAAGATACGGTTTACTTGTCATGTCTAGTTAAAAGACTTTCATACAAAATAAGAATTCGATATGATGAGTCAAATACGGCAGCGTGTGAGTGGCTTTTAAAAAAACCCAGAGCCCCACAATGATATCAGGTGTATGTTAAAGAATTATAAAATTATAATGCATGTAAAAAATACACATATATATATATACAAGTTTGCAAGAAAGATTATATCCAGCTGCTATATAGAATAGTTACAGGTAAGCTTAAAAACAGGGTATATATCACTCATTCTAGGGACAAAAAATTTGCCAACACTCAGACTTCAAAGAGTCTGAACCACTCACATAGTAAAAGGAAACTTGAAAATAAACAGGACAGTACTTAATGGATTAAGGGAAAACCCGGGTCGGCGATCTAAGGCAATATCGATACAATTTTTCAAACTATCCAACTTTTGTTTTTTGCGGAAAAACATCCTTTGACATCTGTTCTATCGAGTCAAAATGAAGAAACTGTTGAAAAAGCACCCTAAATGACCTAAAAGGGCGTTTGAAAAGTGCAAATCGCTATAAAAATCTTTTTAAAAATCCCTGTTTTTCTCAAAATCTACTTTTTGACATAATATGTGACCTCCTGGGTGCAAGGAGTTTTCAAAACTAAAACTACAGAAGCTAGAAAAGCTTCAAACTTGGTGTACAGGTGCTTTAAGATCTATTCTGGGGATCTATGTAAGAGAATTGGGAAATATTGGTAACTTGGACTTGAGGAATTATTCAATTTTTTTTGCAATATGTACCCCAAAATTTCGTCAACAGACTCTTGGGGGTCCAATGACTTTGGGCTCACTTTTTTATATTTAAAGATAGGTCAAAATCCTTACATGGATCCCCAGTTCATATAGGCTTGTACTTGTGTGCCAAATTTCAGGCTGATAATTCAATATTTACTATGAAATTCTTCTGCACTTAGAAACTGGTTTGAAAATCCAAGATGGCTGCCATAGAGACCCATTTTTCAGAAAAATTCAACAAATTCACTCCTAGTACATCCTATTTACCTATGAACTTCTTGCACAATTACTTGAAATTGAATAAAAGTCATTCGTTTAGAAAAATTTTTCAGGAGTGTACGTCTCCCCTTAAGTAAACACAGATTCTATCTTTTTAAACTATTGAGATCTTAACCTTTGATCAAGAAGTGTCCACTTAACTTTAAGTAAACCATATGTGCCCATGACTATGCAGATACATTTACCAATTCATGTGAATCATGCCCTGTACTTAAAAATGATACACTGACACGGAAGACAAACAAAAAATTACATTGTATTAGCGAACTTTAGCAGATTAAACTGAAAGTGATGGGAGCTCCACTAGAACATCTGGCAAAACTGCACATTAGTTGGGTTTTTTTAAATCTCTAAAGCTTTAAAAAGTTAACCAGAGCAAAACTGAACATTATTAAGGCTAAGGCAAGGTCAACCATGGCTTTCGATTCATGCCGAGGTATAACTGGCGCTAAAATATCGATTTTAACCCTCATTTATCTAGATCTAGTTTTTCTTTTCAAATTGCCAAACATTTCAACTCCCCCAATGGGTCTCTACTTATATACATTAAACTACTTTCTGAAAATGTTATCGTATATGATGGCCTTATCTTGTTTTGCCTGTTTTCAAGCATTTGCCAACATGAAATCATATAATTTCCTCTGACACCATAGCAGGCTATTAATTTATTAGCAACATTGGATGGTTAAAATCAGTTCAGTTCATGCTATCTCTTCTCTGCAGTCTGTAGAGATCTATGTTCTGAACACATTTGAACTAGGTCCCAAACCCACAAAAATGAATATAAAAGGGATTGACGTCCAAACAGGCTAAATGTTTTTAATTTTCTGAATGAGAAAGCTTACCAGAAATTATCTTTAGACAATGTGTTTCGGATTCAACTTCTAAGTGGGGTCATACTAAAATTCGAAAAGACACGAACATATGCGAAAAGACACATAAAGACATCTGATTTGTGTCCCTTCAGACTTCAGAATTATTTTCAGGGTTACTAATACTTTGACCAAAATTACGGTAATCCTTACCATCTATAGTCAATAAACGTTTGTTTATATTCCGTCATGATGAAGACCCAAGACTTCTGGATGAATGCCAGATATTTTCTTTTCTTTGTCGCCTTACAATTATTATTCTTAAAATAATTATGTAATTACTGTAATAGGACTTTCCTTACTTTATGGCGCTGGGTACCTCTGTGACAAGTGGGAAATGACATTGTAAATGAGTCTTGTACTCTCTTTACTCGATTTGGGGGGGGGGGGGAGTGTTTTACTGCCCTCACAACTGAATACTGAACCATCATATGGTCATGAGCGCGCCGGACACCCTTCTAATTAGGACCTGCATCTTTTTTTTTTGCATTTTAGTATTTCCATCTAAGTGAGCAGCTATGTGAGTGTAAGGAGGTAACACAATATAACTGTCATTAGGGAATTTTACGAAAAACCAGAATTAGAACTAACATTACCTGTTAGGACTGTTTTATTAAAAGTCAAAAGTTGCACTCTCATTGCCCAATGGCAGTGTCTACGTACATGTTTCATTTTTTGTGTTATTCATTATATTAGGCCTATAGATAGATACCGTACAGTTGCTACACTACAGTCTATAGGCTTATAATTATATAGGCTAACTTTTAATAAATATACAAAGTGACTTCCGACTTGAGTCCTATTAGATTATTAGACAAAAATTATATTCGGACTCTGAATTGAGTCAAGCAAGACGTCCATTGCGACTTCCAACCCTTGTTCCTTTATATTTCCAGCATTTATGACACATTTTTCGATTATAATGATTACAATCGAGACATGAGCTTTAATATCCAGTTACTAGATCTATCTAAACTGGCCCTCCCTGCACCATTAGTATGAACAGAACAACCAAATTGAGTTGATCTAGCCCGGGGAAAAGTTATTAAGTCGACCAATGAGACTGGGCAGAAATAGCGATCATGCACTCTCGGCTTGCTGGGGGGAAAAGGTGTTGGGAAGAGGCCACAGCTGTTGATTTTGTGCGATGTGAATTTAAAAAAAATTAATTACAGAAAAACTATAAGCTAACACACAGCAAAATGAAATTAAACAGGTGGAAAGACAAATGAAGGTGGGAGTAATGATGATGCTGTAGTAGTGGTGGTGGAAAGACCCTGAGTTGTCGGTTACCGTGTACTTAGAAGACTAGAACACTGCCATTGGGCAATGAAAGTGCAGTCTTTTGACTTTTGACACAAAATTACAGTCCTAGTAACTAGTAGCCTTTAGGAGGTACTTCTTGTTCTAATACTTGTTTTAAGTAAAATCCCCCAGCGAGTTATATTATTATGTAACCTCCTTAACTACTCACATAACTCACTTGAGGTAAAATTGAAGATTAGCAGACCACCTGCCGGAACTAGATCTAGGCCCAGGTAGATCTAAAATCTAGATCTATTATTTTTGTGACTTTAGCAGGGTGGCGCACCCCCCTCCTAACTAAGTGTTCTAACACCCTATCATCACCCAGCTAGCCCTAGAACTTAGACTTAGGCTACCGGAGTAGATCTAGATATCTAGTGGTGGTCTGCTAATGTTCAAAGACAAAGAGGCCTAGAATACTAGATCTTATATTCGAATAGAGCCGGCCATAAGTATACACGGCTAAGCCAAAAAAATAAAAATTGCTCAATTCAAATTTATGTTGGGTAGGCTATCATTCACCAGGCACAGGCTAGAATAGATCTAACAGCAATAGGCCTAGATCTAGGCCTAGTAAGATCTCTAGTCTAGACTTCTAGATCTAGACTTCTAGATCTAGACCAGACCTATCATCTAATTTAAATATATAGAATCTATATAGATTCTAGATATATGAGTCTTCTAGGCCTAGATCTAGATCTACATGTCTAAAGTCTGAATATAATATTAATAAATAATAATTTAGGATTGAGCAATTTAGGGCATTTAGGCTGGCCTACATTTGCAATTTTAAAGTCCTGCAGACAGAATTGACAGAATTCATGAACCACCAGTTCAGTGACCAGGTGAGGAAGAAGGGTAAAACTAACAAAATGCCCATGGAGTCTTGGATTTGGCAGAGTATTGGATAACGGCTTTAGGCCTAGACTAATTTGAACAGGGAATGACAAAGCGACCATGCTTTTGTGATTATTCACATCACGTGTCACTTTGTTTACAAACACAACTGGACAGGATGTACTGTCACGTGATCAAGAGAGCATGCCTTGGATAAAACGAAAAATCCGCCATATTGAATTTGGAAAAACTGAAAGGAAAATCACTGACAAAGTCCAAGAGAGGCTATAAACACTTGGAAATTCAATTTTTGAAAGAGGCATACAAGCAGTCCATATCATGCAAAGCTAATCTAGGGGATACAAAACGATCAAAATGTGAACAATTTATAAAATCGCTCGCTATTTTCTTGTAAACTGACTTTCCAGGAAACTGGACATGAAGACCACTGGAAAATACAAATAATGCACAATATAGCTCACCAATTCTTGGAGACGGGGTCGCATATTGGAAATGCGCCTGCTCCGCATCCTGGGCATTGCTGTCCTGTGTGAGTCCCTCAAGAAGTTTGAGCAAAACTTCTTGGGGGACTTTACACCCTCATCCCTTTAGGTCAGCAAATTTCGTGAGTCGGAAATTGGGATCCAACTCGTGTGCCAAAGGATCAAACGGACGACGCATCTCCATTTTCAGTCAGGTCGAAACCAAACGCTTATTCCTCGTCTGCAAAATAAAAAGCGTACCATAATCAATTAATCTGCAAATAAAAATATACAGAGAACGAAATCCCTACTGATTATTTCAATAAAAGTACGGCCAAATCGCACCGGTAACTTACCTCAAAAATGGCTACCTCCCCGATGAGCGGCAAAAGTGCCCGGATGTTAAAAATTTGTAGCGTTTTCGGTCAGCCGGGTTGAGAGTTGTCCTTGACGGGATCCTTCATTGTTTGTAAAAGCATTGTCCGAAATCTCACTCGGCAAAATAAATAAAAATGAAAAATGTGAACTACACTGAGTTTTTTTTAAGCACAGTGATTATTTCATACAAATGATATCAACATTTGCAAATAAAAGAGAAACAAAGGGCAGATCGAAATATCTTTCATCTATAGGCGCCTATTGTATGACCAGAGACACTAATGAGAAAGTTTGGTTGCCTACCGGTAGCCTGCATGATCATGATGTATTTGGTAGCCATATTATGGTCACAATCTTTTACAATGTATGTTATTGTTATTAGTTATTGTCAGAAGATCTAGATCTATCTAGATCTATGCTTGTTTCCTTGCTTGATTTGATAATTTATAGTAGGCACTTCAGTGAAATTTTCAAACTTCTCCGAGGTCACTAAAATTTCGATTATTGAAATGAGCTTGGCTTTCTGTTTTCAGAGCTTTTAAAATTTTTGTGCTATATTTATATCTTTGCTAGTTCAGAAGCAGTGAGCATTTTTGTGAATCAATTTTCGCCCTGATTTTGGTCAAATTTTTGCACTGCATTTTGTGCCACCAAAACTCGAAATTTTGCTTCATAACGTCATAAAATCCTTAATAATAGTATAGTTGTATCGTAACCATTGAGGTATCATTTTGTTGGTTGGTTTATGTAGAATCAATATATAAAAATAAAAGTCAAGAGTAAAATTCTATTTACCGTTTAATTACGTCATAAGCGTGACGTCGGGAGTCCTATGCCTATTATCCCAAAAAAGAAATGGGCACACTTTCCATAATAGTGGTCCGATTTTTCCCTATTAACAATCAATCGTCCTTATCTGTCCTCCTTCTTTTCTGAGTACAATGTATGTTACTGTTACTCTCTTGTAACACCTCTAATCTTCGGGGCTTATATGACCTATTTGAGTTGCAAGTGCCGTTAAACCCAAGCTAAAACTAAACTAAAAAGCATAACAGTTCTAAGAAGTGCCCGTGCATTTTGTTTGTTTGTTCGTTTGGGTTTAAAAAAAATAAATTTAATCTCCATCAAAACCATTTGTTATTAGTTCCCCTAATTTATGGCCTGCCATTCATAATTCGACCTATTATTGTTTCACTATTTGTTTTTTGTTTGCATCGATGGTGCTCTTGTTTTTAGTATAGGCTAATCAAAACGATCGTATTGCCTGTGTCTCAATCTCTCCCGCTCCCCATCCAAACCCCCACAACCCCACCCCC